CCAGCCTGGAGGAGAGAACTTGATGCTCGCTGGTGTTTTCTCTAAGAGAGAGGGTCCCTGAAACCAAAAACCCTTCGCCCCACGTATGGTTGGGCTGGTGGCCGGAGGCTCGAAGCCCAGCTCTAGGAGGCTTCTTTTCAAAGGTCACTTGGATCCCACCTCTGAAGGGCCTGCAGCGGGCTCAGACCCTTGGGTCATCCGGGTTTCCAGAGGTTTCTCGGGACTGAAGCGCAACTCCCGCCCGGCTGTCTTCCTCCCTCTCTCTCCCTGTGACTTCCCCGGGGGTGTGATCGGGACAAGCTCCTCTTCCCTTGGCCCCTGGTGTTTGTGCCGTGCTCGGTGTTACAGACGGCAGCTTAATTCCCGCCTCCCATCCCGAAGTAACCGAATTGAGAGAGGAGGGTGCGTCTTTGTCTTTGCCCAAATCAGCACCTAAACAAATGGGTTCATTTTCACAAAGGTTTGCGCACAGTATGAATGTTCCAGAGATGGGTTTCCGTCTGCATTGTTTTTTGGTTTTTTTTGTCCCTGCTGTTTGGTTTTTCTTTTTTTTTAAAGATTTTATGACAGATGCAGCGAGAGGGAGCACAAGCAGGGGGAGTAGGTGGGAGAGGGAGAGGGAGAAGCAGGCTTCCTGCGAGCAGGGAGCCTAATGCGGAGCTCGATCCCAGGACCCTGGGATCATGACCTGAGCCGAAGGCAGAGGCTTAACCCACGGAGCCCCCCAGGCGCCCCCCGTCCGCTGTTCTTAAACTGCCCTCAGAGAAACCAGATGTAATGGGACGTCAAGCGGGGCCATTTTAATAAGGGGCTCAGGTTTCTGAGAATGTTCTTACCTCAGAGCCCATCTTGTCAGGGGCCAGACTGTTTCTCCCAGTCCCAGGGGAGGAGAAGTTTGCATACCCAACTTTCAGAAGCCAGGGCTTCCCCTCCTGACCGAAACGTCTTGTTCAGGGAGGTCTTGGCAGGAGGCAGAAAGGAGGAGGTCAGGAGGCGTGCGTTCGGGTCACAGGAGGGTGCCGGGATTGTGGCCTGGCCTCTGCTCCCAGTTCAGGATCTTCAGAAAGGGCCTGGCTTTCTCCCTGAAGGAGGTTACTTGGTCGTTACTTGGGCGAGAAGAGCCAATTTCCACCAGCCTCTAAAGGAGCTCCTGGTTGAGACTCCCTAGGAACAGATCATGTGGGCAGTGAGATGGTGCCCTGTGGCCCGTAAGAGTTCTTGCACCTGGTGGTTCCTGTGTTTTTCTGTTTTGCGTAAACTCTGCGCCCAACATGGGGCTTGAACTTACGACTCTGGGATTCAGAGTCACACGGTCCACCGACTGGGCCAGCCAGCCCCACCCCCCCATCCGTTGCTTTAAAGCCTTCTTTACAACTGGCTCTTCTCACAAGTACTTAAAATACTGTTGTTTCCTTCTGTCCTTTTCACAGATTCCGCCCGGCTGCGGGGGTCATGTGGGGCCACTAGCCTGCGCAAGGTCTGCTCTCCGGGCGGGCGATCACAGCAGTAGGACCTGCTGGGGCCCATTGTCGTGCGCGGGGCTCCTTGGTCTCATGGAGAACGGGGCAGGCCTTCCGTGCCAGCCCCTCCTCCAGGTCTCGCCCTGTGGACTTATCACCAGTGCTCTTACCGGGAAGTCCCGCGGGGAGGCAGACAGGGTGTCCCCTCCCGGAGCACCCTTGTCAGCCATCCTCAGTGTGTCACAGGTGGCTCCCCTGCCCTATGCTCCCCAGATCCGGTGTGCCCGGCACGCAGGGCCATGAAACGGCCCGCGGCTGGCAGGTGTGTGGGGGGGGGCGGCTCCTGGTGCTTCCTCGGGTCTGCCCTTCACGAGGTCCACAGGCTTCTAAATCCACACATCTTAGTTCCTTCTGCAGTTTTTGGCCATGAACGTGAACCGAAATAACGTACTTGACTCTAACCTACTACTAATCTCTGCCCACCTCTGTAGCCACCCCCTAGGTGCAAAATACCAAACACACAAATAAAAGCACACTATTTCACAACGGCAGGCTCTCTGGTGTTCCGTTTGGAGTTCTGTTCACAGTGGGAGGCAAGGTGACCATTAGTAACATCATTAGCGGCCCAGAAGCTTATCTTTCTGAACGGGACGGGGCAGGAGAGAAACATGGGAAGCTTTTCAGGCAGCCCAGGGATTCTGCAAATAGCCACGATTCCCTTGGACTTGGTAGAGGGATTGCTGACATGCATTACCCTCTAGTGAAATTAAGAGTGTGCTCACTAGATAACCTTTTTTTTTTCTTTTTTAAAGATTTTATTTATTTATTTGACAGACGGAGATCACAAGCAGGCAGAGAAGCAGGCAGAGAGAGAGGAGGAAGCAGGCTCCATGCTGAGCAGAGAGCCCGATGTGGGGCTCGATCCCAGGACCCTGAGATCATGACCCGAGTTGAAGGCAGAGGCTTAACCCACTGAGCCACCCAGGTGCCCCCTAGATAACCTTTTTAAAGTACTCTATCAAAATACAAACAAAATGAGAAGAATGCTATCCTGCCTCACTAGCAGTCCTGGCTAGTAAGTCAAGATCACACGGAGGAAAAAAAAAAAAAAACTCCCCCACGCCTGCCATCACGACCTGACAGACTGGTGGCTAGAGAGTTTGTGTCCTGCAGAGGAGCATGTAAGTCGGAACTACACTTGGGGACTTCACTTGGGAATGGAATGTCCCCATGTTCTAGAGCCCAGTGGTTCCCCTCCCGGGTATGAGCCCCAGAGAAAGCACATTCACAGCAGCAGAAGCTGTGTTCAGATGACGGAATGGCCCGGAGGCGCACACAGCATCGGGTCACAATGCAATAGAGGGAAAATAAGTCCGACGTGGTCAGACGTGGTCAGACGGCCTGGTGCTCATAGAACGTACAAACCACTTTAAGAACCTACCTACACCTAGAGGACAAAGCAAAAGTAGCAGGTCCTGAGGTCGGGGGAAGCAGAAGGATGAGGATACTCTAGGTTCCTTTGGGTAGTGAGTTCACAACCACAAATAAACGTCAGATTTGGCTCAGGAGGAGGGGGTAGATGGAGGCTCGTTGGCACCTTAAGACGTGGAGTTGGGGGTGGCAGACATATGTGGGGCTCCAGGGCGTTCTAGAATGTCGTACGCTCTTCGGGTGATTTTTCTGAAAAAGATGGCACAGCTTCCCATCAGCCTTTAGGATATATATGACCCCTGAAGATTCTCAGCTTGGAATTGCTGAGTTTTTAGAGCTGTCGCTTTGCTACCTAGGGATCTTGATTAGGTCCCGAGTGTGCACACAGCTGGCCCCTTAGTGAGCTGAAAAGCCAGTGTGTCTGGAGTGATGACGGTTTGGGGATGGATGGTGGTGATGGTTGCACAACACTGGGAAGGTAATGGTACCAAATCACAAACGGTCATGAGAAATCTGTAATACACAAAAACTACTGAATTATAAAAAAAAAAAAAAAATTGAAACCTTTGACGCAACTGGATGTGAACTGTCTCGTTTTTCAAAGCCTATTTTCTAAGTCACAACTCTGACTTATAAATAAAATAGGACCTTAGAGGACTTTGAAAATTGACCAGAAGGGGGACAGCCTCCTTTTTCCACGCAGGTACAAAAAGGTACAAAAATTATTGGAGATGGGAAACGGGCTTGGAGAGGGTCTGAGGGCTCCCAGGTCCCACTGCAGATTGACCTGGAGACTTTGCCAGTGGTGAGAGGTACCGTCTGCCATTGCCAAGGCCCAGGACAGAAGCCAGGCATAGGACAGCTCCTTCCCATCAGACGGGGGAGCCTCTGTCAGTCTCTGCCAGCTGGAAACCCCTGGGCAGGCACCCAGTCCAGGGGTCAAGGGGCACCGACGCTGGCCCACATGAGTGGGGGCTGGGCAGGTGGTCCCATCAGGAGGGCTGCTGGCGTGCACCCACCGACCTCCTGCACTTGCGGGTGCTGGGAAGACAACAGACTGCAGACCGGGGTTCAAATCCAGCATAGCTTCCGTGGGCCTCCAGTCTCATCGCCTGGGTAAGTGACATCCAAGGGGCCAGTTACCAAGGGAACCGAATGCAGCATTGCCTGGCGTGGGGCAGGGAGTGTGGCGGTGCCCGCACAGGTCTGGGAGTCAGCTGCAGGAGGATGAGGACAGGCGCCGGGGGCAAGGCCCACAGGATCTCCCACATCAAGGCCAGGCAGGTGCACTACCCTTCTTCCCCACGGGGTGGCAGCCCCGGGCAGCCCTGGCCCTGGCCCTGGCCCTGGCCCGCTGGTGCCTTTGGGGCTGGGCCTCCTGTCTGAGCCCTGGCCGCCCCGGACAGGCTGGAAGAGAAGCCCAGTCCTCCGGCCCAGGGAGGCGGGGGGCCCTGGGACCAGGAAGCCCAGGTCTGAAATGCCAGACTGACGGGGGTTTCCCTGGGGTCTCCTGGGAGTGTCGGTGCCACCAGGGGTTTGATGGCCTTGGGCCAGTCACTTACCGCCCAGTAACAGGCAACAACACGGAAGCACCCCGTATGTTTATGGGCCCCCCCAGGAGCCGACGATGGCAGGACTAGCAGCCGCAGGAGGGCGTCTCTGGGAACTGTGGGGGAGGGGAGCAGGGGGGAGCCATGGCTCGTGGCTCGTTCCCCCCTTCTCCAGCCCTTCACCTTGCCTCCCCGTCCCGCTTCCTCTGACACGTGCCCTGTGACATCTTTTTCTGTGTGTGTGTCTCTCTCGGGGCCTCTCCCTCGCCGGGTGTGTATGTGTGTGTTGGTGTGGGGTTCAGTGTGTGTGTCTGTCTGTGGCTTCCTGCTCTCTGGCCGCCTGTGTGTGTCCGAGGGCTCACCCCACTCCGCTCTCCCTCTCCCCCTCTCCCCGTCCCTCTGAGTGTCTCTTCCTCTTTGTGTGACTCAGGGTTCCGTGTGTGTGTGTGTGTGTGTGTGTGTGTGTGTGTGTGTGTGTGTGCGCGCGTGTGTCCGTCCGTGCGTCTGTCCTCTCTGAGCCTGTGCTGATGTCTGTCTCTTGCTCTCTCCCCTCCGTCTGTCTCTCAGCGTCTCTCCCTGTCTCTGCGAGTGTCTCTGCGTCCCCGTCTGTGCAGGCAGCCGGTCCGGCCGAGCAGCGGATGTGAGGGATGATTCAGGGCTGACAGGAAGCCCGCCGCCTCGCCCGCTGCCCGCCAGTATCCGCGGCGTCGGCGTCCGCTCAGCAGGTGCGCCGGCTCGGCATGAGGGGGCCGCAGTGACAGGCCCCGGCTCTCAGGTGAGTCTTCCTCGGCAGTGCCCAGGGCCCGGCCCGGCCCGGCGTGGGGGGCCCCGAGGCTGCCTCCCACCAACCCCCCACGGGGGTGGGAATGGCCCTACGGGGCCTGCGGGAGGGCTGGGGGGTTGGGAAGTCGCTAGAACACCTGGCTCTCCCTCGCTTGGCCCCCTCGCTGGGGACCCCTCTCTCGCAACCCTGCTCGGGTCTGGGGCTCCAGCGCTTTCCCACCCTCGCCTTCTCCAGCCCTGCCTACACGGGCCTGGCGGGGGAGAATCTCCTGGCAGGAGTGTGTGTGTGTGGGGGGGGTCTCATTGCTTCCAGAGACCCGGTGAGGGGCCAGACCCATGAGCCTTGGTTTCTTCATCTGCGAAATGGGACTGAAACATCCCTGCCGCTAGGCTGTGGGAGGACGGGTGAGACTCTGGGCAAGTGTGCCCAGAGCCCACCGCAGACCAGAGGGAAGCAGCCTTCCCCCTACGCCGCCGCCCCTGCCCGGCCCCCAGCCTGGCCCACCAGCCCTCGGCTGGGGAGCTCCTTGACCCCGGCCGCCACCCTCCCCCACCTCTGCCCCAGGACCAGGGCTGCACGGGCCCCGCAGTGGCCACCTGAGCCTCCGGAGCCTCCATTAGAGGCCCCTGGGTCGGCCTCAACTGAAGGCCTAGATGAGGGGGGAAACGGAACAGAGCCCGGCAGATAAACCTCCCCAGGGCTTGGACCCAACCTCTTTCTCCTACCCCATAGGCCGCCCTGTGGCCCAGGGAGGCCTCCTTCCGCAGGTGAGGCCTGAGGCGGGCTGGGAGATGGGGCAGGAGGGTCTCTGAGGGCCTTTCCCGCTGGCCCAGCCCAGCCCCGAGGGCCTTCCCCCAGCTCGGCTGTTGCAAACTTTGTTCATCTGAAAACTGCGTACTTCCCTTTGTGCTATTTTGGCCTGTGTACCACGGCCTGTGGCCGCCTAGCCTCCCCGCCCAACCCAGCCCTGCCTGCCCCTTGGGGCCCTTCTGGGGGCTCAGCCTCCTCCCCCAGCCCTCTTCCGCCAGCTCAGAACCTGGGTGGGAAAGCCAGGCCTGGAGGCAGGTTGACTCCGTCTGGGGGCCGCTGACGGCCCATTCCTCAAATCGGTCTCTCTTTTAAAAAAGATTTCATGGTTCTTACAAAAGGTAATACAAGACAGGGGTCAAAGAGCAGGGAGGGCCTTGGGGGTCGGCCCGGCCCGAGCTTGGGGATCCTGGCTCCGGGACTGGCTCGCTGGACGAACTTGGGCCAAGTACTCCCTCTCTGGGCCTCGCTCTCCCTCCCCGGCTTGGGGTGTCTGGGACAACGGAGGGGCTGGGGCGGACCCCAGCCTGCCCTGGGGTCCCGGCGTGATGGCCCACGTGCGGGGTAGGGGAGCGGTGGAGGGAGGCTCAGACCCGCGTGCAGGGGTGGGGAACAGGCAGGAATTCCCTGGTAGGTTGTTGCAATGCTCACCTCCCAGAGGCGGCCCCGTCCCCTTCCACAGAGACCCTGATGCGGCAAGTCACCGTAGCCATCCAGCCGTGTCTCCCCCACCTTCGTGCCTCATGACAAACCTGAGGGATGCGTGTCATTATTTCCCTGCTCCATCCTGAAGGCCAGCGATGTTAGACTTAATGGCGGAGGCCCCCTCGGCGCGCTCGTGCTCGCCTCTCCTCCCTCCCCCAGTGCCAGGCGGGTGGGGTGGACCTGGCCTAGGGGGCAGCTGGCCCCTGCTGCTTGTCCCAGGAGAGCAGGGGCATCCGGGGAGCAAGAGGGCTCTCTGGGGGCCAGGATCCCCTGGGATGGTGGGCCGCCCTTCCCCGGGACGGCGGCCTCAAGGGCCAGGCCTCGGGAGCGCGAGGGAGTTCTCCAAACCAGACACAGGAGCCCGCACAGGCTTCTCTCCGGGAAGCCCGAACGCAGAGCCAGGCTGCTTATCATCTGCCAGCAGTTCTTTGAGAAAGGCCCTGGGTTGGTCCCCATTTTACAGATGAGAAGACTGAGGCTAACAGATCCCAAGGCACAGGCAGAAGTCCTCCCGCCACCGCCCGGTGCTCCCAGCCCTGCACCACCTCTAGGGCCCTTGGGCTGCGGCTTGAGGCCCAGCAGAGAGCCTGCCCCATGCGGCCCTGGTGTGTGGAAGCAGGAGGCTGCGCAGGCTGGGGGGGCGGGGCCCGGTCCCCGAGCGCGGGGGCTCCCCACGGACGCCCTCCTATCCCATCACGATGTTTGGGAATTCTGGAGTTCCCGCTGACTCACTTGGTGTTCGGGGAAGGAGAGCCGGCTTCACTGGGACAGCCCCGATGGGGGCTCAGGGTGGCTCAGGCCTCCTTGTCATTTGTGCCATGAGGGCTCAGGAAGCTCGGGGAGGTGAGGGGACAGCCCAGTGCAGCCATGGCCTCGGGGAGCCCAAAACAGGAGCTGGGCGGTACAGAGCTCAGCTTCTCCCTGCGCCTCGCCTTCCCCAGCTGTAAAGGGGGGAGAAGCCCTCCCCCTGGGGGGACCGAGCCTGCAGAAACAGACATGCACAGAGGGGACACTCCTGGGGCAGGGCTCCCTCGGAAACCCCGCTGTGGCCCTCAGTTGTGTCCCTGGCCACTGCCAGGAGACTGACTGGGTCTCTCGGGATGCCAAGATTCTCCTTGGAACCCCCCCCTCCAAGAGGGCTGTACTTGTCCTCCCTGGCCTGGGTGTGTGGCTGCCTATGGCTCGGTCAAGGACAGGCCATCACAGCTTGGCTCCTCCACTGGGGCCGGTCACTGACCCAGCAAGGGCCCATTGCCAGGCTGGGTTCCGAGGCTCCTTTCCCCGCAGGGTCCCCCCTCCCAGCACATCCCACCTCCACCAGCCCTGGGCAGCCCACCCAGTCTCTCCCCAGAGCACCCTTCTTCCCCTACCGTCCTCAAGAACCCCTGGGTGTTTAAAGAACGAAACCCCAGGAAGCCTGGGTGGCTCAGTCGATTAAGCGTCTGCCTTTGGCTCAGGTCGTGATCTCGGGGTCCTGGGATCGAGCCCCGCATCGGGCTCTCTGCTCAGCGGGGAGTCTGCTTCTCCCTCTGCCTGCTGCTCCCCTGCTTGTGCTCTCTCTGTCCCTCTCTCTCTGGCAAATAAATGAATGAAATCTTAGAAAGGAAGGAAATCCCACTCCCAGCTCCCCTGAGAGGCATGGAGAGGGACAGAGAAGCGCCCTGGGGTGCGTGGGGGCTCCCAGGTCTCCTGTATGGAAGGGACCAAGGACTGAGCTCAGGGAGCAAAGCTGGGTTTGCAGGAGGCAACAGGTGAGGCAGTCCGGAGGCTGGAGTTGGAATCCTTTCTTTCTCCTGTGCAGCCGGGATCCCCAGCCTCAGTTTCTGTATCTGTGAAATGTTGGGAGCCTCTCCCGCCACGGGTGGTTGTGTAGATTAAGCGAGGGCACTTTGGGACATATACACATGGGGCGGTCTGGTGGGTCCCCAGAACCTTCCAGCACTTACCAAGTGTGGGGGATGGCCCTGGGGGCCCGGGATGAAGGTCTGGGCTCAGGTGGGGGAGAAGGCCTGGCTGTGGCCTGACTCAGTCCTCGGACAGGGAGGGGACATGGTGCTCCCATGGCCTGGGCTCCACTGCGGGGCTGTCCGGGGCTGGGGGTGACAGACACCCAACAGGGTGGGGCTTGGGGGGCTCTGGAGAGCTGGTCACAGGGGGTCCTACGTTGCAGCACTGCCGGACATGTGGCCAGGAGTGGACATGAATGTGGAGAGCGAGCTGCTGTGGCCCGGGGTGGCCCTGTTGCTGCTGCTGGGGACGGTGGCCAGCTTGTGCGTGCGCTGCTCCCGCCCAGGTAAGGGCACGTGGTGGGGACAGGGGTGGGGTCCCCAGCCCTGGCTGTGGTCCAAAGGCGGTCAAACAAGTTTCACAAGGCAAGGAGGAGAGCCCTGAACCACCCATGAAGACGGTGGGTCTGGCTCACTGTGGGGCTTTGGTTTTGTTGCGGCTGGGGAATGTTCTGGAAAAACGGGGGTGGGGGGGCTGCTGTGCTGCCTGCAGCAGCCACCTTCTCCAGGCTCTGCTCTCCTAATAGCAAACATCCTGTCCATGACGGGTGGCCCACAGGGGTGGGCGGGCCAGCCCCCACGTCCCATCCGAGGCCTGCCCAGGGCACAGGGGAGACAAGAGGAGGGGGGATGTCGGATCTCAGTTCCCACCCCAGCCTGGGGTCACTCGCTAATCCGGGCTTGTTCTTGCAGCGGTGAAGAAGTCTGAGAAGATCTATGAACAGAGGAGCCCGTGAGTGTCTCGGTGTCCCCAGCCCAGGGACTTTGTGTCCCCTGACTGTGGGCAAGCACACAGGCTTCCCCTCGTGTTGTCCACGCACCTCTGCCCTCAGCCCTCGCTCCCGCCGTCTCCACACTGGGCTCTAGTGGGTCCAGAGCAGTGCAGGGAGGGAGGGAGGGACGGAGGGAGGAACCCTCAGGGCTCTCCACGCACTGTCCCCTCCTCCCTCCCCACCCCCACCTGGGCCCGAGAGAGCTTTGGGGAAATGGGGTGCCACTCTCTGGCGGGCCCCCCTCTATCTCCAGAGATCCACCCTCTGCCACCCGCCTGGGGGAGCCCACCAGGCTGGTGCTGGGGCTTGACAGAGAGCCCTGCCCTCCCAGCAATGTGGGGAGCAGAGACCGGGCACAGAGAAAATGTGAGCCACGCGCAAGTCTCCCTGGAAAAGGCCAGCCGAGCTCTGGGAGGACGTGGTGGGCACGTCCTCGGGGGCTCGGGAGGAAGGCCTGAAGGGGGAGGTGGGGAGGATGTTAAGAAAGAAGGCAAAAAGGAACATGTCAGGGAGAGAACGGGGTGGGTGGTTCTCCCTGCAGGACTGGGGTGGACACTTTCTTCTGGGGACAAGGTGGTATGTGTGGGCATATCTGGAGAGGCGTGAGATGGATGAGGAGGGAGGAGAGCCTCAACTGTTGGGGAGAACCCATGGCCTCTGTCCTAAGGGCAGAGGGGAGCCACAGAGGATCTGGGAGGAAGGAGGTAGGGGTAGAGAGGAAATGGGGTGGTGGGGGTTCACTGACCCCAGGCCAAGCAGTGGGGTCCGGGCGGGATGGAGCTCCAGGCACCCCCGGGGCTAGCGAGCCACTCTGTGTATGAGCCCTGGGAGGGTCAGCCGTGCTGGACACTGCCGACCACCAGTGTGGCCCAAGGACAACCCAGGGAGGGAGGAGGGCCGCCACTGGTGTCCTTGCCCTGAGCAGAAAAGTGACCGACGGAGTGCCTGGGGGCCTCTGAGACCTGCGTGCGACATGCATATGGGCCAGCACCCTGCTCACACCCACCTGCCACCCCCCCCATTCTTGTCCAGGGGAGCGCTCCTCTCCCCGCCAACCGTGGTGTGTGTGTGTGGGTGTGTGTGGGTGTGGGTGTGCGCGCGCGCCGTTCGCACGCGCACACTCTTGCCTGGGGAAGGAACTCACGTACAAATGCACACACACACACCCTTTCTCATTTCCTTTTGCAACTGAAAAGCCACAGTGAAATTTGAAAATAGAATGTCCACATCCATGCCCACCCCTGGGGCCGGGGCTGGGCTTTTTCAGGCTTTTCTGGCCACTTGGTCCTCCGGATGACCAGCCTACGGTCTCCACTGGGGCTGCCCCCCACCGCCCCGCCCCTGCCCCCAGGCAGGCCTCCCTAGTCTCTCCTCCTCTTTGCCCTCCTCTCTCAGTGCCTGCCCACTCTGGGCCTCTGATCGATGTTAGAAACATAGGCTGTTTGAGCCAGAAATGAAACCACCTCATAATGGGAAGTGGAAGGCTGGGCCTGGGCAGGAGGAGGCTGTGGGCGGGGGGGAACTTGGGTTCTCCCCACTCCTCTTGGGTTGAGTCCTGCCCGTGCAGTTAGGACATCCTTCCTAAATCAGGTCACCCTGACCCCTCCCCAGCCCCCCTACACCAGAGCTTCTGGAAGGCTGGGTCAGGTGCCCCTTCTGGTCCAGAGGAGGAACCCAAAAGGCTTTAATGTCTAGCTAATCTGCTCTACCATCCTTAGCAGTGGCTTCCATCCTCAAGGGGACTTCATGCTCCAAAATGGCAGCTAGAGCACCAGCCCTCACCTGTGTGTTCCAGGCAGTAGTAAGAAGGAAGGATAAGGACAAAAAGGGTGCACTTCTGTTGGCAATGCCTCCTCTAAAGTCCCAACAATCTTGGCTTGCGTTTCATTAACTAGAGCTTAATCACATGGCCACACTCAGGCACAAGAGAGGCTGGAAGATACAGTCTTCTAGATGGACCTAAATAAAAATCCATTTCAGAGGAAGAAGGAAATGCCGGTATGGCCAGCTACCTTGCTGTGTCTGCTAAGCCTTGAAGTTACCTCACCAGTTATGTGGGAGTGAATGGTGTGTTTGAACATCTCAGGAAGGCTGGTTACCCTCTGGTTGATGTCCCTGAAGAGTCTCTGGACTCTCACCTCAGAATCAGAGGGCCACTGCCCCAGCCCTGCTCACAGCCCTTCTGGACCATCTCCGGGGGTCCTGGGGAGGCCGTGGAGGCCGCTGGCTCCAGCTCGGGGCTGTACGAGAAGCGTGGATGCCCAGTGGGCAGGGTTGGGGAGCAGTCCAGAGAATGGGGGCTTCGGGGAGCCCTGGATCTGAGGCCCAGAGAGGGGTCAGCTCCTCCTCTCTTTCTTGCCCTGGTCTGCCCCTCCCCACTCTGGTCCTCATCCCTGTCTGTCCGTCTCTCCTGTCTCTCTGTCCCTTGGGCTGTGGGGGGCCAGGCCCTGGTTCAGCTCAGCTCCATGTTTTTCCAGGGAGGAGAACCAACAGAACTTTGCAGTGGCCCGGACCTATTCCTGTGAGTCCCCAAACCCAAGGGTCCAGGGACGAGGCTCAGGGTTGGGGGTGTCCATCTGGGGACTGCGGCCCGATCTCATGGCATGGGGGGACGGCGCTGGCAGGCTGGCCTAGGGGCCCAACCAACATCCCCTTGTCCTTTGCAGTGGTCAGGCAAGCCTGGCCTGGGGCCCTGGTGGACATGGACTCTGACGTGGCCCTAACAAGGTAGGACTAAGCCCCCTATCCCAGGCCAGGAGGGGTCACAGCCCCATAGGAGGCCATGGGAAGGTCCCCACCTGGCTGAGCTCAGGCCAAGCCCTTGGACCTCGGAGCCCCAGAGCTGGACCGTGAGGGCCCCACGAGGGGGCCGTGGTTCCGAAACCCTGGGGCCTCTTCCCCACCGGCCCCCCTCAGCCCCTCCCTCGTCCTTTTCCTGCAGGAAGGACAAGCTGCTGCGCTTCTCCCCCAGCCTCGAGGGTGAGTGGGCCTCAGACGCAGGGGTGGGGCAGGGGTGCGGCGGGCCGAGGCAGGTGAACATCCGGTGGGACAGGTGCAGCGTGGGGAGGCCCAAGGGCCCGGGGGAGTTGGGCCAGGAGGGCCCGGGGTTGGCCTGGCTGGGGAGGAGGTGGAGAGCAGGTGTCAAGGTGGGAAGGCAGGAAACACCTGGGCCCTTGGAGGCCCTTCCCTGGGGCAGGGGGCGGGAGGAAGCCGTGAGCCCAGCCCGGCCTTTCTTCCAGATTCTGAGTCCTCCAGGTACCAGAACTTCAGCAAAGGTGGGTGGGATCCCGGGACGCGGGGGCTGCAGTGGGGCCTGCGGGCCGAGCTCTCAGGCCTGACCCTTGCCTCCTCCTGCAGGGACCAGACTCGGACCCAGATCTGGCCCTGATGCGGCCCACACGTGAGTGGCCTTCTCTGGCTGGCGTCTCCCCCCTCCCCTCTCACCCCCCAACGTCCTCCCTCTAGGAAAGCTTCCTGCCCTAGAAGCCACGGGCCGAGGAAGGTGCTCGGTAGCCCACTTCCCCTCATGGGGCCATGTCCCTCCTTTGCGGGGACAGGGACGTGGCCCCGCTCTAGGGCATCGCCCAGAGATAAGTTCCATGAATCCCAGAGAGCAAGAATCAGGGATGTCTCTCTGTCTCATGGATGGGTCACCTGAGGCCCAGAGAAGACGGAGACTTGCCTTGAGTCACCAGTCAGGCCGGCTGGAGCCATGCGGGGTGGCGGCTAGAGCATCCGCTGTGACCCTCTCGGCCCAAACCCTGGCCTGCCCAGCTACCTCTGTGTCTGTATCTTCTTGCCAGAGCCCCCATTTCCATGGACTATTACAACTGGGGGCAGTTCCGGAAGCCCCAGGAAGGTGAGGGGGAGGGGGCAGGGAGGAGGGGGCCGGGGAGTGGGGGACGTAGGCGGTGGGGGCAGGCGCCCCGGAGCAGAGTAGGGAAGGGGTGTGTGTGGGAGGCAGGGAGGGGAGAAAGCAGCAGAGGTGAGGGAACAAGAAGGGGAGCTGGGAGGGGGGTAGCGGGGGGATGGCTGAGCCCCTCGTCACTCAGGGGCCCCCTCAGGGCTGGGCAGCTCCTGATGAATGCTGTGGGACCTCGGAGGAAGGCCCCGGGCCAGGCAGCCATGGTGATACTCGAAGCCCTACAGGCCCTAAGGAGGCTGGGATCTTTGGACCTTAACACCTCGGCTTTAGGAAGGAGAAACTGAGGACCGAGGCGGGCAGGGCCTGCTGGGAGGAGCTCAGGTCCAGGCTTGAAGCCCACTCCCACCCCCGGCTCCTGCCTGGGCCACCCTGGGCTGCAGGGGTGGGGCGCATGGCAGGCAGAGAGAGGGGTCCTCTTCTCCCCACCCCATCCCTGCTGAATATGGGAGGGACCCTCCTCCCTTGACGCCGCTTTGGCGCAGACGGCTGCCACCCGGTGGCGCAGCGGTTGGAGCTCAGCTTGCAGGGGCGACGGGGGGTGCCAGGCTCCGCTAGGCCACATTCCGCCTAGGCCCACCCTGCCTGCCTGAAGGTTAGGCTTTAGGACAGCCTAGGCCTGCTTCCTGTCTCTCCTCGGCCCCCAGCGGCTCACCCTGCCCCTCCCTGCCCGGTAGCAATGGGCCTTCCTCCCTCCAACTGTCCAACTGCCTGATTGCAAACCCGCCCCTCATGTCCCCTCCCCCCGTGCATCTGGGGTGAACTTGGAAGACCAGGAAGGAGCCCAGGGTGGAGGCCGCTGGAGCCAGGCCAGCATCCACTAAGAATCTCGTCCAGGAGAATGTTCCGAGACCCCGTGGGGGACACAGAGGGCAGGGGGCTTGGCAGGACAGGCCAAGACAGGACAGAGGGAGGAAGACCCAGGCCGCCGGGCAGGGCCCCCCAGCAACCTGACCCTCACCCCTTCCCTGGCAGATGACGACAACGAGGACGCCAACTCCTACGAGAACGTGCTCATCTGTACACAGAAGGAGCCTGACTCAGGTGAGGCTGTGGCCCGGGGACTGGGCAGGGAGGCTGGCCTCCTGCGCCGGGCCCACCCGTGCCGGTCAAAGTCACCGCCCGCTCCAACCCAGAAGGCTCACCCTTTGCAGGAGCACCTGGGTGAGGCCCCAGGGGTCCCGGCCTCAGTGAGCATGCGCAGACAGGGTCCCTTCTTCCCCTGCGGGGCCCGACGACCAGCCACAGCGGCGGCCGCCTGTGCCAGCCCCTCTCCCGGGGTCTCATTGCAGGTGACGAGGGATCAGAGGACTACCAGAACTCCGCATCCATCCGGCAGTGGCGGGAGTCCAGGAGGGCTGTGGGTATGTTGGGGGAGAGCAGGGGCTCCGGACTGGGGGGGCCTGGCCTGGGAGGATCGGGCAGGTGGGGTGTGGAGAGGGAGGGAGGGAGGGAGGGAGCATCGGTTGTGGGTGGGGGGCTGGCCTGGGAGGATGGGGGGCGGGCAGGCTCCCGTGCAGCTCTTGTAGCTGATTTCACAACGAAGCCTCTGGCCCATCTGTGGCCACCGTGGCCTGGAACCATGCCAGGCCCCCTGGGTGGAAATCTCTGGCAAACCCCAGAGATGGGACCGGTGCAGCGTTCCCTGTAGCATTTCCTGCAGGCTGTTCTGCGGCATCTGGGGGCCTGGGCCCGAGCCCCTGGCTGGGGGAACAGGTGTGGGTGTGTCCGCATGACCCGTCTGCCCCCCATTTGCCCGCTGGTCCACAGAGCGAGCCCCGAGGGAAGAGCCTCTGACCCTAGCAGGCAGCCCAGATGACGACGGCGACGACCCCGATTACGTGAATCAGAGTGTGGCAGCCACAGAAGCCTAGGAAGGCTCTGGAAGGAAGGTACGGCCACTCCTCTCCAGCGGCCTCCGCCCAGGGTGGTGGACCTCACAGGCCTGAAGGGGCCCCATCCCATCCCAAGGAAAAAACAGGGCTGGTGAGCCACGGCAGGGGGTCAAGGGGTAGCACCCATGGGTGCTGAAATGGCGGGCTCTGTAGGGTGTTGGGACTGAGCTCCTGAGCTGTCTGTGCCCACCCTGCCCCCAACGCCACGGCAGGCCTGGTGACGTCACAGCCTCACGGCAGCCACAAGGGCCTCAGTCTGCTGTCGGGGGTGTCAGGCCGAGGCAGCTGGAGAGTTGTGGGGTGAAGGGTGGGCCCCGGGGAGCTCTCTGCAGCCTCGAGCGAGGGACTTAACCTTGTGGGTTAACCTTGTAGGACTCTTTTCCTCACTTGCAAAATGGAGCAAATGGGACACAGCACGTGAAGGACACAGGGGTGGGGGTGGGACTGGGGGGTAGAGGACGGCGTCCGTGAGGGTCGCGGCTGGACCTGCTCGGGCTCCCCAAACGCACAGGGCACTCAGCCTCCCGCCCCGGGGCCCACTTAGAGTCAGCGAGCTGCTGGGGCCCCGGCTGTAACACCGCACGGGAGGCGGGACTGACCCCAGAGGGTTCTCGAAGGCAGGCGGGCTGGCAGCTCCTGGGCTGGGAGAGGAGGCCTCGGAAGCATGAGCCCACCGCTCACGCACTCCCCAACAGCTCCCGGGCCTCTCCGGGGGGCCAGTCAGCCTCAGGTGCTGGGGACCCAGCAATGAACGAAATCTACCCATGGGCACCCGGAGGGCGCGGCTCTTGATCTCAGGGTTGTGAGTTCAAGCCCCACGTTGGGTGTAGAGAGGAGTTAAAATTAAAATCTTTCTTTTTTTTTTTTTTTTTAAGATTATTTATTTATTTATTTGACAGAGAGAGAGAGAGAGAGAGATCACAAGTAGTCAGAGAGAGAGGCAGGCAGAGAGAGAGGAGGAAGCAGGCTCCCCATTGAGCAGAGAGCCCAATGCGGGGCTCGATCCCAGGACCCTGAGATCATGACCTGAGCCAAAGGCAGAGGCTTAACCCACTGAGCCACCCAGGCGCCCCTAAAATTAAAATCTTGAAAGAGAAAAACATCTACCCAAATCCCTGACCATTCAGGGCGTTACTCTGGTCAAATCGAAGACACAAGATGGCTGTGGGCTGAGAGGGAGGACAGGAAGGACAGGTAGCATGTGAGAGAGTGATAAGCTCCACAGAGACAAACCCATAGGCAGGAGGCCGCGGACAGCAGGGCTGGGGTGGCCAGAGCAACTGGGGGTGCTCCCTGCCTGCCCCGCCGTGGGTGGGGGCGTGGGGAAGGATGTGCAGGGGGGCAGAAGCGCGCCCAGAGGGTCTGACAACAGGGGAGGGGGCCGCCCTTGGGGCAGGGGGGGCGGCCTGGGATCCTGGGAGTGGGATCCTTGGCTACCGAGAAGGGAAATGAATTCAGGGGACAGCAGAGACCAGTGAGAATCCAGGTAAAGGGTGGAAGCAAACATGCATAGAGTTTTCTTTTGTCTCAGATTTTTTTAAGTTTATTTATTTTGAAGTAAGTTTAACACCCAGCATGGGGCTCAAACGCACGACCCCAAGATGTAGAGTCACACGCATTCCCGACTGAGCCAGCCGGGCGCCCCGCCCCGTCTCCGTGTATTTCTGAAATTTCTTCCTGATGGCTTCGTCGACCCATCAGATCTCTGGTATCATGTTGGTTGACCTCCACGTGACTGCATTTTTCCATTTTTCTGGTGATTTCTGGCTTCGTCACCTTGTGGTTGGAAAAGATGTATGGTCTGATCTCGATCTTCTTATGTTCACTGAGCCTTGTTTGGTGGCCTCACAAGCGGTCTGTTCTGAAGAATGTTTCGCGTGCACTTGGAAACAATGTGTATTATTGTTTGGATGGAATGTTCTGTGTTTCCCTGTGATGTCCGAAATGGCAGCTGTTTTTTTGTCTTTTGTGTTTTTTTAAAAATTTTTAATTTTTTTTTTAAAGATTTTATTTATTTATCTGACAGACAGAGATCACAAGTAGGCAGAGAGGCAGGCAGAGAGAGGAGGAAGCAGGCTCCATGCTGAGCAGAGAGCCCGATGCGGGGCTCGATCCCAGGACCTTGGGATCATGACCTGAGCCGAAGGCAGAGGCTGTAACCCACTGAGCCACCCAGGCACCCCTGGCGGCTGGTTTTGAAGGCGGAGCCCACGGGATTCACTGATGCGCTGGGCGTTGGGGGCCGGGTAGAGAGGAGCCATGGGCTGCAGGTCTTTTGGCTGAGCGACGAGAGGATGTCACTGTCCCTGAGAGGCTGTGGCAGGGCAGGCCTAGTGGGAAAACCACCTTATTTCTGGATCTGTTCGGCTGGAGCTGCCCACGCGGGGAGAAATTTGTAGCGGTCAGCTGGACAGCAGAGCCTGGGCTAAGGGAGAGGCCAGGCTGGAGACAGACGTGAGCTGCCATCATTGAGAGTGACAACTGTCAGCCCCTGGGGGAGCAAGGCCGGGAACAAGGGTCGGCACTGAGGCCCGAGGCTGGGAGGTGAAGCAGAAAGGGCAGCGTCCTGGGCCGGAGGAAGGCACTTGGGGAGGGTGTGAGCAGGCACAAGGCAGGCGGGGATGCACTGAGCACCGGTGGGCGCTGGTGAGATTCGGCGGTGGTGGGGGAAGAACCTGCTTGTGTTCGGAACACAGGAGCCCCCAGACGGGGAGTGAACATTCCAGAAGCTCCGCTTCAGAGGGGAGCAGAGATGTGGGGCAGGTTTTTGAGCTGTAAGGTGGGTTGGTTCAAGCGTGGGGTCTGGCCGAGGCTGGACCTGGCTCGTGGGTGCTGTCCCACTCCGGGGATTGGACGCCACAGGATGGCATCTGCAGTGGCCTGCTGAGGGCCAGAGGGACCCGATCTCTGGGTTCAATGAAGTGGAAGGTTTGCTCGGTGAGGCAGAAATGGGGCTGAGTTAGAGCTGATGCTCCTGGCAGGTCCCGTCTGGGTTGGAGGGGAAGGTCAGTCACCAGTCCTGTGCTGACAGACCCCAGCCTTGGCCAGGATCCACGAGCATAGGAATTTAGGAGGGAAAGAAGGCTGCTTGGGGCGCTGAGCGTCTGCCTTTGGCTCAGGTCATGATCTCAGGGTCCCGGGATTAAGCCTTGCATGGGGCTCTCTGCTCAGCAGGGAGCCTGCTTCCCCCTCCCCCTCTGCCTACTTGTGATCTCTGTCAAATGAATAAAATCTTAAAAAAAATAAAGGAGGCTGCTCGATGGGCAGGTCCTTCTCAGCCTGGCTGCAGGAGAGTGGCTGAGCATTGACCATCGCCATGCCTCCCTCACTGACCGTGACCGTGACCTAGCCATCCCAGCGCCAGGGCGGGGGCGGGGAAGAAAGTGCTAGTCCAGGCCACCTTCTCCCTTCTAACAAACCTTTTCGGTCTTCATTAAGGAGCCGAGGGAGCCACTAGGCTGAGGGCTGTTCACTGCCTCCCCTGGGGTCACTTCTCTCTCGGGAGCTGCCCAACCTCTAGACGCCCCACGGTCACTCCTGGGAGATACACCGAGACGTCCAGAGGACCATCCGTCAGGCCGTGGGGGGCCGGCCGGGGACAGGACAGTTATACGGGGAATCAGCCCCTGGCCCGGCTTCAGCGAGAGCCCAAGGCTGAGGGCAGCGTAGCTCCTGCCCTGATCGATGCCCCGGGGTCAAGGCAAGCTGCCTTCCTGTCCCGTCTGAAAAAACACTGCGTGTCGCTGGGATTCCTGTGCCTTTTTGCTTCGGATTCAGATTCGAAATTGCTGACTCGTGTCAATGGCTGGGATCTTTTTTGTGAGCCGTGGACGTGTACAGTTAATTTATGTGGGTGGGACCGTATTTAATCATCTACATCCCTGGGTGCAGAATGTCGTCTGTCTCGTCTCCTGGAAGCATTACACGTCATGGCTGTTGTCGGGGGGGGCCCAGAGCCCCATTCTTCGGGCTTCGGTCCACTTGGAAGCGGTGAGGCTACAGGACAGCCCTTCCGTGGGGACGTCTGCTGTGGGCAAAGCACGTCGTGTTTCTGGAGAAGGAGCAGCGCGGAGCGGCTGAGTGGGGCCCCTCTCCGTTGTCCCCGAGTCCTCCCTGGCCCCAGGACTGGACTCACTGAGCTGAGCAGGAACACAACTGCCTTGTGGGAAGCACAGGGGCCCCCGGGGACCTTCGGAGGCAGATAAAGCCACAGCCAGAGGGACTAGATGTTTCCTTCGACTGAAACGTCTCAATAAAGCCTGTTCTTACTAGCGATTCTCGTGTCTGCATTTCCTGCTTCGTGCAAAACCTTCCAGGGGAGCGGAAGTCAAGCCTCTTGCCTAATGGAAAAGGACACTGAGGCCCTGAGAGAGAGGAGGAGAGCGAGCGAGAGCTGGGGACAGGAACCTGGTCCTGGAGGCCACACTTTCCAGGGCGCTACACTGACTTTCCAGAGTTAATGCCATCAGTTAGGAAATGAGAAGGAAAAACAGAACACAGCTGCTGGCCCCTTGTTCCTTCCTGCCCAGTGTCCTGATCTCCCAGACTCAGAGACGCAAGGGGTACAGTGGGGCTACGGAGGGGGGTCTGGGTGGGGAGGAGTCCGACCTCCACAGTTACGGGGTATGCGGCACAGACACGTGCCTCTGGGCCCTGGCCCTCCCCTGCAAACTCACAGTGATCACGAGCCTCCAGATAAGGGTAAGATTGGGAAATATCTTAAAATGTTTTTAAAACCTTACTTTGCCATTTTTGAGGACCTTAATTCTTCCCCACCACCTTTTCCTAAAAAAAATTTTTATGTATTTAAGAGAAAGGGAGAGAGTGAGGGAGCATAAGCAGGCGGAGGGGCAGAGGGAAGGGCAGAAGCAGGCTCCCCACGGAGCAAGGAGCCCGATGTGGGGCTCCATCCAGGACCCTGATATCATGACCTGAGCCGAAGGCAAGAGTCGGACACTCAGCTGACTGAACCACCCAGGCGCCCCCTTTTCTTTCTGCTTTTATGTACACCAGTATTTTTTGTAATTTAAAAAACGGGGAAAGGGGTGCCTGGGTGGCTCGGTGGGTTAAGCCTCTGCCTTCAGCTCAGGTCATGATCTCAGGGTCCTGGGATCGAGCTCCACATTGGGCTCTCTGCTCAGCAGGGAGCCTGCTTCCTCCTCTCTCTGCCGGCCTCTCTGCCTACTTATGATCTCTCTCTCTCTCTGTCAAATGAATAAATTAAAAAAAAAAAATCTTTAAAAAAAAATGGGGAAAAAATTGTACCTCGTCGGGGAGAAACGATCATACAAGGTAATAGAAAATTTACTGGGGAACAGAGAAGGCCAGTGGGCAGGTGTCACACCACTGTCCCCGGTGACCCCTGCCGGTCCTCTCTGAAGGCCTCACTGTCCCAGGCTGTTCTGGGACGTCCGTCTCCGTCCCATACCCCATAGAACTGTCCTCCAGGCTTCTAGAAGCACTGAGATTAGTTTCACCAGCCTACTCTCTCCATCACCTGTTCCACTTGCCAGACGCTGGGGACACTCAGAGACGGGATGCCGGTTCTCCTTGTGGCCTGGCGACGCCACCTTAGCGCCGACAAAACCATACAGCGTTTTTATTAACGAAGATGCCACATGAGCCCAGGTCGGGTGCCAAGCCCTGAGGTTCTCTGGGCCCCTGTCACCCTGTCACCACGTCTGTGAGTCAGAGGCTGACTGCAGACACCCATGGACGTGGAGTGCAGGCCACGGTTGAGGGCAGCCTTCTTTCCAGATGGGTAGGCACTGACTCCTGTCTCTCCCCGATAAGGATTCTCAGGACCTTCGTCATCCTGAGCAACGAGTTCTCTTGCCCTAACTGGCCACCGGGGCCATTGTCTTCTGACACAGCCTGGCCAGGAGCCCTGCCATCTGCAGGAGGGAGTTCACGCCTTCTGCTATCTTCATATGCGTGTATCCGATTTCCTGAAAAACAAAGCACATGTCAAGCTGGTTGGTAAGTGAGGGAGTAAAAGGTTTTTTCATTTGAACTAGTAGTTTACTTAAAACTGATCCAGCGAACTCAAATTTCAGCTGGAAAATGAACTCCAGGTTGTCATGGGTTTTGTCTAAAATTCAGTTTATTTTTTTCTAAAAGGATGTGGGTATTTCCCTGTCAGGGACGGTTAAGAAAAAAAAAAAAAAACCAAAAAGCCAGGCTTGAAGAAAATTTTAAAATCCTTAGAAAACACACGTCTGATAAAGGACTTGAAGCCAGGATATAGAAATAGGTCTCAAAACTCACTAAGAAGAAAATGACCCAACTAAGAACTCGGTGGATTTGAACAGATGCTTCATTAAAGGGAACGGAGGGCAAATCAGCACATGCTGTTAGCTGCTGGAAACGCACCTTAAAGCCAGGACGAGGGGCGCCTGCGGGGCTCCGTCAGTTGTGTGTCTGACTCTTGATTTTGGCTCAAGCCATGGTCTCAAGGTCATGAGATCGAGCCCTGCGTCGGGCTCCGTGCTTGGCGCAGGGTCTGCCTGAGACTCTCTCTCTCCCTCTCCCGCTACAACCCGCCCCTCCCACCCCTGTACTCTCTCTAAAATAAAACAAATAAAATCTTAAAAAAAAAAAAGAATCAACCGAACACCGCCAGTGCTGGCTAGGCTGCGGGGCATCTGGAACGCTCGCTCGCCCATGGCTGGGAGAAATGCACAAACTATAGCCGCTTCAGAAATCGGTTTCCCAATTTCTTATAAAGTTAAACACACTCTGACCATTAGAATAAGCCATCCCACCTCCTGGGAAGTTGCCTGAGAAAAAGAAAAACGTATGTTCACATTCACACTGATTTGCATATGCAAATATTTACAGTGGCCTTACTGTCGGTCACCCACACCCGGACCCACCGGTGTCCTTCGAGCAGTGAACACACAAACCGTGGTTCGCCTCTCGGCAGTGAGAAGGAGCGACCCGCCGACAGACACAACACCATGAACAAACCCGAAATGCATTAAGCTAAGCAGACTCAAAAGGCTACCTTCTACTTGATTCCATGGTCATTTCCATAGGACATTCTGGAAAATTCTGTCCCGCCAGGGAGAAAACAGAGCGGTGGTTTCTGGCTGCTTGGGGAGCTGACTGGCTACAAAGGGGCACATGTATTTGGGAGGTGGGGGAATCATAGAACCAGTCCGACCTTGGCTGTGGCCTTTACGAGACCGAACACTTCTGTCAACAGAAGGTACCCGAGAGGCTCCGTTGTACTTTATGTCAATTATACCTCAATTAACCCGACCTTAAGAGTCAACAAACAAATCTTGGATGCAGAGGGCACCCTAGACTGCTGACCAGCAGAACAGGCTTAAATCGGCTCCAAGCCCCAGGACCACCCGGCCTTGGGACACTCACTGAGCCCAGGGCCAGGCCCGGGAGCCAAACCAAGCCACTGCAGCGTGGCCCCGTTCCCCAGGAGAGCCACTGCTAGACTCTCACTGACCTTGATGAACTCCAGTTTCAAGTACTCCGCCATCTGGAAGGTTTTACACACTCGAAAAATGTTGCCAATGATGTCTTCCGGCGAGTAGCCGAGATGCCACAGGTGAGCGAGAATCTAGACAGAGGAAGATACGTTGGGTGACAAGGGTACTGGGGGGGAGCGAGGGGACGAGTCTTGGGCCCGTCACACAGCAGGGAGTGGACAGATCATCCTTGGCGACCCAGGATCCAGCAGAGCCACCGGGGGGGCCATGGCCTTCAGCCCGCCTGGGGGGTCACTGGAGTTTCCAACAGGCAGAGATTCTATTGCAAATGTTTTATTTTTTATTTTTTTACTATTATTATTTATTTTTTACAGTGGGCTCCATGCCCAATGTGGGGGATCCCGAGATTAAGAGGCACATGTGCGGGGAGCCTGGGTGGCTCAGTGGGTTAAGCCTCTGCCTTCAGCTCAGGTCATGAATTCAGGGTCCTGGGATCGAGCCCTACATCGGGCTCTCTGCTCTGCAGGGAGCCTGCTTCCTCCTCTCTCTCTGCCTGCCTCTCTGCCTACTTGTGATCTCTGTGTGTCAAATAAATAGATAAAATCTTTAAAAAAACAAAAAAAGTATTCCAGGGTCGGGGCGCCTGGGGGCTCAGTCGGGTTAAGCAAATGACTCTTGGTTTCGCTCAGATCGTGTTCTCAGGGTTCTGAGATCAAGCCCCACAGCGGGCTCTGAGCTCAGCGCAGTCTGCCTGTTGCTCTCCCTCTGCTCCTCCCCCTGCCCTCTCGTGCCCTCCGTCTCTCTCTCATGAATAAAAGTAAAAATGCGGGCACCTGGGTGGCTCAGTGGGTTAAGCCTCTGCCTTCAGCTCAGGTCATGATCCCAGAGTCCTGGGATCAAGCCCCGCATAGGGTTCTCTGCTCAGCAGGGAGCCTGCTTCCCCCTCTCTCTCTGCCTGCCTCTCTGCCCACTTGTGATCTCTCTCTGTCAAATAAATAAAATCTTTAAAAAAAAAAAAAAAAAGTAAAAATGCTTTGCATGGTCTCCTATGACACCCACGTCGTGGCTCTATCTATGGGTCCTAAAAAGTGACATGAACCACCCCAGTGAGCACCAGAGGGGAAGCGGAAGCAGCATCTGCCTGCCTGGTGCTCCCTAAGGGCTGGGCTCAAGTGCGCCCCCTGCAGGCCGAGCCTCCACCAGGTCTCCACAGGAGCAGGGTCCTGGCCTCCTGCCCTGTGGGCGTCCAGGCAAGGGGTTCCAGCCCCCCTCAGCCCACTCAGTCAACTGGGTCTGGTGGGATGGGGTCTGGGGTCTGGGGTCCCTTGTCTCGCCTTTGCTGTGGCATCTTGGGGTGGATGCAGGGGGCACGGAAGCTCTGGGTCCCTAAATCTGAAGGCTGCCTCTGGGTTGTGTGCCTGGGTCTCTGCCTCAGTCTCCCCACCTCGCCCTTTGGTTTTTACTTTTTTATTTTTTTATTTTCTATTTTTTTTTTCACCCCTTGGTTTAGAATGACATCTGGCCCTGCCCTAAACCCAGCCCACTTCTGGCCTAGTTTGGTGGGAGCAGGGGGAGGGAAACCCGCTAGGATGGGACCAGTGGCCTTAAATTGTACCACTGCCACCCTTGGGGACCTGAGGGTCACCTGAACTGTGACGATACCCCCCGGAATCCGCACACAGGACCAGGCTCCACATGAGGCCAGAAGCCCTGGGTCCTGCTTCTCCTGGATGACCAGGGACCACTGGGTCCCAGAACACCATTCCTTGTCCCTCGGGGGGACGGAGGGCCAAGTCTCCCTCGGCCGACACGGGCGGCGTCACGGAA